TTGTTCTTTTTCTTTTTTTTTCTTTTTGAATGGAGTCTTGCTCTGTTGCCCAGGGTGGAGTGCAGTGGCCTGATGTCAGTTCACTGAAACCTCTGCCTCCCAGTTCAAGCGATTCTCCTGCCTCAGTCTCCTGAATAGCTGGGATTACAGGCACCCGCCACCATGCCTGGCTAATTTTTGTATTTTTAGTAGAGACAGGGTTTCATCATGTTAGTCAGGCTGGTCTTGAACTCCCAGCGTTGTGATCTGCCCGCCTCGGCCTCCACAGTGCTGGGATTACAGGCATGAGCTACCGCGCCTGGCCCATAACTTTGTTCTTTGTTGTGAGGGCTGAATGAGTTAAATCAAGTGCCTAATTAGAACATGGCCTGTCCCCTAGTAAATGTTCAAGACAGCTGGCTCTCATCACCGCAATGCTAGCAGGAGACCAGGAAGAGGGGGTCTTGTGTTTGACATGTTAACTTTGTAGACAACGGCTTTCTGCCCTCGGTGGCTTTATGTCCCACTCACTTCTGAGTTTCTTTGGTCCCGTTGGCCCTCCAGGCAGAAATTTAATGACTGTCAAAATTCTCACCATGACATCACCAGACAATGTCAGCGGGAAGTCGGCGCTAGAATGACTCGAACTAGAAGAACTGGAGCAGGTGGAGGATCGGGTTCTTAGTCTTTAATTGCATTGGCTTTATAGAGTAAATCTCATGGCCTTAGAGTTAATATCGTACCAGTTTATTGGCACCAAATTGCATTACAGACTCATTAGCTCTCTCATGGCCCTTCATCTCTGCCACACCAAAGCTTTCCTTTGACTGATGTTAGTTTCATTATTCATGACTCTTACAGAGACAGTGGCCTCTAAAATAGAGACCAGGGAAGAGCGTTTTTCTTTCTTTCTTTCTTTTCTTTTCTTCTCTTTTTTTTTTTTTTTTTTGAGATGGAGTTTTGTTCCTGTTGCCCAGGCTGGAGTGCAATGGCACAATCTCGGCTCACTGCAACCTCTGCCTCTCAGGTTCAAGTGATTCTCCTGCCTCAGCCTCCTGAGCAGCTGGGATTACAGGCACACACCACTGCATCCAGCTAATTTTGTATTTTTAGCAGAGATTGGGTTTCTCCAAGTTGGTCAGGCTGGTCTCAAACTCCCAACTTCAGGTGATCTGCCCACCTCAGCCTCCCAAACTGCTGGGATTATAGGTGTGAGCCACCACGCCCGGCGAGAAGAGGATTTTTCTAATGAAAGATTCTTTACCAATCCAGGGCTACTTTGCTGGACTTCTGAAATAAGACTCATTCCTTCTTTTGTTCTGTTGGTCATTCTACAATTAGTAATTGAGCACCTATAAGACAGACATGGACCCTGCTCTCAAAGCAACTTACAATATATTTGAAAATACACTTAATTAGAAATCACAATTAGTATGGCACTGATCCAACAATGGCTCATGGAGCAGATACTGTTAGTTGCTTACTATGGCAAAGGGTGATGAGTGTCCCCCAATATTTATTCTCTTTCTTTTTTACAGTAATGAAACATTTATGTTTAGCAAGACACATAGAATTTAGGCTAATGAGTATATTTCCCAGCCTCCTTTGCTGTTATATGTGGTCACGTGTCTAAGTTACGGGATTTCTGCAAAAGATTTCCTTGCTGTAAAATAGAGATCCCCCTAAAAAAATAGAGCTAACTCAGTAAAGTACTAGGCATGGTGCTAGGTCCATTTTCTGATGGATGTTGCTATGTCTGGATGTGATGCCTGGATCCATGGCTGTTTAAATTAGAAGAGTGAGGGCCTTCTGTTACTTGCAGACAAGAGCATCCTGACCAAACAGTATGGTACACAGAGTCCATTGTGGCCTGCCTTGTGACCCACTCTCCAGTCTCATCTCTCAGTATTGCTTTCTCCAGTCCCAAACTTCAGACCCCCTGAATTTCAAACCATGGTCTTTCATTTCTCCAGGATTCCATGCATGAAATGACTTCTGCCCAGGATGCCCTTCTCCATCTCTTTATCTGACAATGATCAATTCATCCTCCAAAATCAGCTTAGCAGGCATGTCTTCCAGGAAGCCTTTTGTACCAGACCCAGCTTATGGGCCACCCCAGATCCATTTGGCCCCATCTGCACTCCTGGGCCTCAGCCACTTGCCTTGTTTCGTGTGTGAGTATGTGTGTGTGCACGTGCATGCACGTACTTTGAGGCAAGGTCTTGTTCTGTTGCCTAGGCTGGTGTGCAGTGGTATAATCAGGGCTCACTGAAGTCGCAGCCTTCCAGGGCTCAAGCAATCCTCCCACCTCAGCCACCTGAGTAGCTGGGACTACAAGTGTACACCACCTCGCCTGGCTAAGTTTTTAAAAATAATTTTTTGTAGAGACAGGGTCTCACTATATTGCCCAGGCTAGCCTCAAATTCCTGGACTCAAGTGATCCTCCCGCCTTGGCCTCCCAAAGTGTTGGGATTCCAGGTGTGAACCATCGTACCTGGCCTGCCTTGTTTCTTAACAAGAGCAGCCCTAGCAAGGGATCACTCTATTTTCACAGCTGGAAAGAACTGGCTGCTGCCACTCCTGCCACAGGACCTTTTTGTGTGGTGCTGATGATAAGGAAAGACCACCCACATGTATAGGCAGGGGCTTTCAGGGACACTGGCTTCTTCATCATGTCCACATGGCCCGGAGTGGGGACAGTAAATATCCTGTGGGTATCCTTTGACCAACAAGAGACAGGACATGGGAAGAATCATCAGCTCAATTGTTTGCCCTTTTTTCTCCCCAAATGTTTAGAGATTAAGAGGCTCTGTGCAGCCTCTTTGAAGGGGATGGAGGAACCAGCTGTGTTTGCTGCAAAGCTTCCTTCGCCTTGAATCACTCCCCATAAAACACTCATAGGCAAGCCATACCCTTAGGTTCTGTTTTCTGAGGATCTGGGCTAAAGAGCCTCCCCACCCCACGCTGCCACCACCCAGCAAATCTGGGTGGCAAGGAAGAGACACATTTGGACGATCTCAGACTCCGGCAGGGATTGTTAGAAGGATCACAGGGAACCCAGACAGCACTACTTACTCAAGTCAGAAAAAGAGCTGTAAGGTCATTCAGGCCGCACGGCAGCTTTTGTGCTCCCAGATCAACTCCGAGAGCCCACCATTCTTGGACTCAGCTGTTTGGTCGCCTTGCTTCTTCCTACTCTCCCCTGACCTGCTGTGGTTTCCACTGCCCCCTGGCCTTTGCCTACTCTATGGCTTCCGCTGATTTAAGGCTTCTGCTTAATTCTGAATTCTCCTTCCTCAGGGCTTCTGTGTCCCCTTCATTCAGACTCCCCAAGAGAGAAGATAGGCTTGGGTTACTTGGTTGCCATTCAGTACTGGGTGGCATTGTTGGCAAAGTTGTGCATTGGACTCCCTTGTTCCTGGTGGCCCTGGTCCAGTCCCTTGAGAGTGTTTAGAAACATCTGCATCAACTTGACATTGCTGTGACATTTACAAGGGTGTGACTGACAGGCTTATCTCTCTAGGCACAGGTCAGTGTGGATAATCTCTAAATAAAGATAGGCCCGGTCAGATATTGAATATGCAAGGTGATTAAAATTTTTTTGTGTGTGTGTAGAGATGGGATCTTTCTCTTTTGCTCAGACTGGTCTCGAACTCCTGGTCTCAAGCAATGCTCCCACCTTGGCCTCCCAAAGTGCTGAGATTATAGGCAGCAGCCACCTCACATGGCCAAAAGGAGATTTTTAAATAAAATAATCGTCAAAAGTCTAAGTTGCCTGTGAATTGCACATGACATGAGCTATGTAATAGTCTTGTTTAGTAGAACCAACAGGAAATTTTAAATAACAAACCAGCAACAGGTCATTTATCACAGATAGTTTGAGAATCACTGGGAAGGCAGCAGTGAAGGAATCTGAGTGGAACTTCCAGAAATAACTCTTAAGCCACAGAGCAGAAACTGGCCCACCAGGGAAGCTGCCGCCTCTGTCCCCACCAGGAAACTGCCTGCAGAACCAGGGCCCCTGCTCCAGCTGCGGAGTTGCAGAATCACCCCACCTCTGCTGCCAGCCACACTAGCAAAGCGGGTGTCTCGGGTGGCTCCTGTCTTCGTGCCAGGAAATGTGGGAATGTGTTTTGCTTCCCAGCTCCTGCTGCAGAAGCTCCCTAGAGGAAAGCTGAAACGAATGGCTAGTAAATGGAGCCACAGTGTCCATTCAAAAATTCTACACTTCCGTGACAACAGGACTGATGTCCTGTTCCCCCAAGCAGTCACATGCTCCTTGACCACAAGCATATGCACATTTTGTTTATATTACCTGGAATGGTCTCCTTGAATTTCTGTTGATCAAAATCCTATTCCTTCCTTCCTTCCTTCCTTCATTCATTCATTCATTCAATAAATCTCTATAAAGTACCAGGCATGGCAAAGGCTACTCGGGATACCAAAATGAATATGGCAAAGCCCCTGACTTCAAGAGCCTCATCAACTGATTAGAGAAATAGACATGAACATAAACTACACTGCTCTTTTCCTTTCTGTCCTATAAAACCCTTTACAATGTAAAAGAGTGAAGTATAGGGAGGAAGAGTCCAGCTCTGGAGTCAGACTTGCCAGCTGTGTGACTTTTTTGAGACAGGTCTCTCCCTTTCATCCAGGCTGAAGTGCAGTGATGCAATCATCAGGCTCACTGCAGCCTCAACCTCCCAGGCCCAAGTGATCCTCCTGCCTCAGCTTCCTAGGTAGCTGGGACCATAGGCACACACCACCACACCCAGCTAATTTTTTTTTTTTTTTTAAAGACAGGGTCTCACTATGTTGCCCAGGCTGGAGTGTGATTTTTATTTTTAATTAATAATTAATTAATTTATTTATTTATTTTTGAGATGGAATCTTGCTCTGTCATCCAGGCTAGAGTGCAGTGGCATGATCTTGGCTCACTGCAACCTCCACCTCCCGGGTTCAAGCAATTCTCATGCCTCAGCCTCCTGAGTAGCTGGGATTACAGGCATGTGCCACCACGCCCAGCTAATTTTTGTATCTTTAGTAGAGACGGGGTTTTACCATGTTGGCCAGGCTGTTCTCAAACTTGTGACCCCAAGTGATCCACCCACCTTGGCCTCCAAAAGTGCTGGGATTACAGGCATGAGCCATTGCGCCCGGCCCCTGGAGTGTTTTTTAATACGTTACTTAATCTCTCTCGGCCTCACTTTTCTTCTTTTCTTTTTTCTCTTTTTTGAGACGGAGTCTTGCACTGTCACTTGGGCTGGTGTGAGCGATCTCGGCTCACTGCAGTCTCTGCCTCCCGGGTTCAAGTGATTCTCCTACCTCAGCCTCCTGCATAGCTAGGATTACAGGCGCCCGCCACCATGCCCAGCTAATTTTTTGTATTTTTAGTAGAGACAGGGTTTCACTATGTTGGCCAGGCTGGTCCTCACTTTTCTCATATGTGAATGGCAATAATAACAGCACCAGCCTCATTGGGTTTGTTCTGCGCATTCCAAGAGATACTGCTGAGGAAGTGCCACATCTAGGAGGCATGTGATACAGGCATCAAATGGACTATCATATCCTGTCCTTCAAAACCTGGTTACATGTTACCTCTCCATGAGCTCCCCCTGCTCCCGCTGTGGGAAATGAATCCCTTCTCTCTCTTTTCCTCTCATCACTGTTCACATTCATTCTCTGTGAGACACACCTCCAAGATATCAGACACTCTGAGAGGAGTGTCTGTATATATACTTGCTAAGCTATTGAAAACAAAAGCCATAGGAGTAACCTTTGTCAAACATTAAATGCTAAAGGAGTTTTGGTTTTTGGTTCTTTTCTTTCTTTTTTTTTTTTTGGTTTGTTTTGAGACCAGGTCTCGCTCTGTTGACCAGGCTGGAATGCAGTGACGCAATCATGGCTCACTGCAGCCTCAACCTCCTGGGCTCAGGTGAACCTCCCACCTCAGCCTCGTGGGTAGCTGGGACTACAGGTGTGTGTCACACTGTGTTGCCCAGGTTGGAGTGCAGTGGCATGATTTTGGCTCACTGCAACCTCCACCTCCCAGGTTCAAGCAATTCTCGTGCCTCAGCCTCCTGAGTAGCTGGGATTACAGGCGTGTGTCACCATGCCCGGCTAAGTTTTTGTATTTTTAGTAAAGACAGGGTTTCGCCATGTTGCCCAGGCTGCTCACAAATTCCTGAGCTCAGGCAATCTGGCCGCCTCGGGTTCCCAAAGTGCTAGGATTACAGGGATGAGCCACTGTGCCCGGCCAACAGTGACAGTTTTCTTAATCCACCCATACACTGTGTGTATGTACCATTTTCGTCTGTCAGCTCAAAGCCCTGTGTTTTCCTTCACATTCCCCTTGGCCTAACACGTGGTAAGAACCCACAAATATGAGTAGTAAATTAATGAATGAGTAAATCTGTATTTGCTCTGACACATATAGTAGATTTGCCAAGTGTAAAGTTCTGAGGCCTGTACCTTGAGTCCTTTAGAGGAAATGGGCTATGGAAACAGATTACAGGCAGCAAAAATAGCAACAGTAATACGTCATTTACTCGGTGTAGTGGGGGCGAATTATGGTCCTCCCAAAGATACGTTCTCATCCTAACCCCTAGAACCTGTGAATGTGACCTTCTTTGAAAAAAAGGGTCTTTGTAGACATAATTCAATTTAAGAATCTTTAAGGATCTTTAAATTACAGATCTCCAGTTGAGATCAATGGGATTACTCCAGTGCATTCTAAATCCAATAAAAGGTGTCCTTTTAAGAAACAGAAGGCCAGGCACAGTGGCTCACGCTTGTAATCCTAGCTCTTTGGGAGGCCAAGACAGGAGGATTGCTTGAGGCCAGGAGTTCGAAAGTGGCCTGGGCAACACAGTGAGTGAGACCTCATCTCTACAAAAAATAAAAAATTACCTGGGCGTGGTGGTGCACACCGTAGTCACAGCTATTCAAGGAGGCTAAGGCAGGAGGATCATTTGAGCCCAGGAGGTGAGATCAAGGATGCAGAGAGCCGTGATCACCCACTGTACTCCAGCCCAGCCTGGGTGACAGGATGAGAACCTGTCTCAAAAAAAGAAAAGAAAAGAAACAGAAAAGGAGAAGGCTCAGACCCAGAGGAGAAGGCCATGCAAGATGAAGGCAGAGATGGGAGTGAGGCAGCCACAAGCCAAGGGGCGCCTGGAGGCGCCGGAAGCTGCAAGAGGCAATGAGGGATTCTCCTCTGAAGCCTCCAAAGGGAGCACAGTCCTGCAGATACCTTGATTTCAGATTCCTGCTTTTGAGAACTCTGAGATAATACATTTCTGTTGTTTAAACCACCTGGTTTGTGGTATTTTGTGACAGCAGCCCTAGGAAGCTAATTACTCAAGGTACATTGAGCGTGTTTGTATGACCCCTAAGCCGAGATTAGTTTTCAGATTTTTTTTAGAGTTAGGATCTCGTTCTGTCATCCAGGCTGGAATGCAGTGGTATGATCATAGTTCACAGCTCACAGCAGCCTCGACATCCTAGACTCAAATGATCCTCTTGTCTTAGCCTCCTGAGAAGCTGGGACTACAGGTGTGCACCACCACACCCAGCTAGTTTTTTTGTTTTGTTTCGTTTTGTTTAGAGACAGGGTCTCACTGTGTTGCCCAGGCTGGTCTTGAACTCCTGGGCTCAAGCAATCCTCCTGCCTTGGCCTCCCAAAGTGCTGGGATTATAGGCATGAACTGCTGTGCCCAGTAGGTTTTCATATTTTTAAATGGCTGAAAAAAATCAAAAGAAGTGTATTTCATGACACATGAAAATCTTACAAAATTCAAATTTCAGCATCCATAAATAAATTTGATGGGCACAGCCCTATCCACTCATTGACAGATCATCTCTAGCTGCTGTAGTGAGTTGATTATGTCTCCCTAAAAGGTAAGTTCAAATCCTAACTCCTGGCCATGTGCAGGTGACCTTATTTGGGTCTTTGTAGAGGTCATCAAGTTAAGATGGATTAGGGTGGGCCCTACATTCAATAAATAGTGTGAGAAAGGAGGGGAAGATTTGGATACAAAGACCTAGAAATAGGCACAGGGAAGAAGGCCAAATAAAGACAGAGGCAGCCGGGTCCAGTGGGATTACTCCTGTAATCCCAGCACTTTGGGAGGTCGAGGTGGGTGGATCACCTGAGGTCACGAGTTCGAGACCAGCCTGACCAACCTGGAGAAACCCCGTCTCTACTAAAAATACAAAATGAGCTGGGCGTGGTGGATCATGCCTGTAATCCCAGCTCCTCGGGAGGCTGAGGCAGGAGAATCGCTTGAACCCGGGAGGCAGAGGTTGCGATTAGCCGAGATCAAGCCATTGCACTCTAGCCTGGGCAATAAGAGCAAAATTGTCTCAAAAAAATAAATAAATAAATAAATAAAAATAAAAATAAAAGACAGAGGTAGAGGGATGCAGCTATTAGTAATAAAAGTAATGGCAAGAACCGCAATTATTTTTGCACCAACCTAATGCAAGTTGAACTTTGCCAAGCAACGGTTCCAAACTCAGCTATTTGGGGGCCACAGCAGTGGACCTGAGCAGTTGTAGTACAGACTTTATAATATCCAAGCCTAAAATATTTACTCTGTGGCCCTTTACAAAGAGTGTGTGCCAGGCTGGGCATGGTGGCTCATGTCTATAATCCCAGCACTTTGGGAAGCCAAGGCAGGAGGACTGCTTGAGGCCAGAAGTTCAAGACCAGCCTGGGCAACATAGTGAGACCCCCATGTCTACAAAAAAAATTAAAAATTAGCTAGGTATGGTGGTGCATGCCTGTAATTCCAGCTACTTGGGAGGCTGAGGCAGGAGGATCCCTTGAGCCGAGAAACTCAAGGCTGCAGTGAGCTATGATTGTGCTACTGTGCTCCAGGCTAGGCAACAGATCAAGACCTGTTTCTTTAAAAAAAAAAAAAAAAAAGTGTTTGCTAACTCTGACCTAGAGCATTGTCATTATTTGTATAGTTGGAGATAGCATACTACTATATGTGCCAGGGCAAAAATAAACCACTCTGTTGGTAGCACCCCATTTTATAGATGCGGAGATAGAAGCAAAGATAGGTTAACAGAGTTATCCGAACGAGGTGGCCAGCTGTCATCTCTGCATAGCAAAACGTCTCATCCATCTTTTTCCAGCCACAGCACCATGACTTGCCTTGCGGGGAGAGACACCCCTTCCCACAATTCCCACAGTTTGAACAGGGCTGACTCCACCCCTTGGTTCCAGGGTTGGGTACCCAACTGTATTAGTCAGCTCAGGCTGCCTCTGCAAATACCATAGATTGGGTGACTCCAACAACCGAAATTTATTTTCTCATAGTTCTGGAGGTTAGAAAGTCCAAAATCAAGGTCTGGTGGGGTTCAGCTTCTGGTGAGGGCTTTTCTCCAGGTTTGCAGATGGTCTTTCTTTGGGGCAACCATGTGGTGAGAGAGCCGTCTCTCTCTCCGTCTTATAAGGTCACCAATCATATCAGATCAGGACCCTATCTTTCTGACCTCATTTAACTGGAATTACTGCCGAAAAGCCCTATCTCCAAATACAGTCACACTGGCCGTTAAGGTTTCAACATAGATTTGGATTGGGGTTGGTGGGGCACTACCCAGGCAATGCTAGTCCATGCATTCCCTTGCTTGGTGACTTCAGAATACGACCCGAAACGATCCCAAGTCATAGCATTTACCACAACTTTTAAAAAAGCAAGCCTCTCTGGCCAGGCGTGGTGTCTCACGCCTGTAATCCCAGCACTTTCGGAGGCTGAGGTGGGCAGATCATCTGGGGTCGGGAGTTCAAGACCAGCCTGGACAACATGGTGAAACCCCATCTCTACTAAAAATACAAAAATTAGCCAGGAATGGTGGCGTGTGCCTGTAATCCCAGTTACTTGGGAGGCTGAGGCATGAGAATCACTTGAACCCAGGAGGTGGAGGTTGCAGTAAGCTGAGATTGTCCCACTGCACTCCAGCCTGGGCAACAGAGCGAGACTCTGTCTTTAAAAAAACAAAACAAAACAAAAACAAAAACAAGAAAGGCTCTTTTCCTCTGCACTGAAGACAATGTGAGACTA